ATTAAAAAATTAAAAAACAAAACAAAACAAAAAAACCCTACAACAACAAAAAGCAACAAAAGAGACATGAAAGCAGAAGGGGATTGGTTGGGAAGAGGAAGGGGATGAATGGGCTAGGAAGAGCCAAGAGAGGTTAAGGAATGGTAAATATGATTGAAACACATTATTTCATTGTACATGAAAATGTCATAATAATATGATTAGGATACACTGTTTGAAATCCACAAAAATTCAATTTTTTTTCCTTTTTTTAATAAAAAATATCATAATAAAATCCATTATTATTATGTATAACATATGCCAGTAAAAATATAAACAAGCCAGGCATGGTAGCACACGCCTTTAATCCCAGCACTTGGGAAGCAGAGGCAGGTGGATCTCTGTGAGTTCAAGGCCAGCCTGATCTACATAGTGAGTTCCAGGATAGCTGCGGCTACAGGGAGATCCTGTCTCAAAAAGACCAAACAAACAAACAAACAAAAAAAAAAAACCCAGAAACTAAGGAAATTGTTATTTCTCATTGAAGGCCAGGGAATTCTCCTGCCTCAGTCTCTCAAGTGCTGGGATTGCAGACATGCATAATAATACCCAGTTAAATCAATGTTTTTGAGGTGGTTTACACCTGTATTCCCAGCACTCAAGAGGCTGAAGCAGTAAGATTACTTTGTGTTGAAAGCCAGCCTGAGGTACAGAGTGAGATCCTGCCTCAAAACCAAAAAATTAATCAAAAACATGCATGATCACAGAACTCAGAACTCCAATGTGGGCATGCCTTAACTAGCTACTGAATTATTATTGGGCTCTTTAATACTTAAAAATACTATTAAAAATCCTTGAATACCAACTGTGAATATAAAAATTTACAGCTAATTTTGAAAGAGATAAATCTTTGCTCTGGAAATTGTTATTGAATATGTCAATGCTGTTATAATGAAATGCTTCTTCTAATCATGTGGTTATTAAATAAATAATTTTTTAAAAAATCCTTGAATACAGTCAGCAAGATGGCTCCACAGGAAAAGTGCTTGCCATATAGCCCTGATGACCTAAGTTTGATCCCTAGAACCCACATACAAGTGGAAGTAGAAAAAGATTGCACAAAGTTGTCCTCCACATGTGCTACAGCATGTGCAGACCCCACCCCCACATCACATCACACACACACACACACACTCAAAAAAATCCTTTACTATACATGCTGGTAGATATATATATCTTTCTGTATCCTAAGTAAAGAATTTTGGGTCAATGAATATGCACATTCTGATTTCTGAAATACATTGATCAACTAACTATCTTTCAGCAAAGTCTCACTTAAATTTCTCCCAGCACTGCCTTTTCCACATCTTAAACACACACACAAAAAGGGGCGGGTGGGGTGGGATATTTGCTAACCTAATAGGAGAAAATAAATTTAAATTTGTTTGCTAAAATATATTATTTTTGAGACAGGGTCTCCCTGTAGCCTGGAACTCACTATGCAGACCAGGCTGACCACGCTTTCATAAGAGCTCTGCCTGCCTCTGCCTTCTGAGCACTTGGATTAAAGGGATGAGCCATCTTGCCCAGCATACCATTCTATTTTTAATTTTTTTTCACATTTATTTATTTTACTTTCTGTGGAGGGGAAGAGAGGGACCAAACATGTTATGGGTCTCCCTGTAGCCTGGAACTCACTATGCAGACCAGGCTGACCACGCTTTCATAAGAGCTCTGCCTGCCTCTGCCTTCTGAGCACTTGGATTAAAGGGATGAGCCATCTTGCCCAGCATACCATTCTATTTTTAATTTTTTTTCACATTTATTTATTTTACTTTCTGTGGAGGGGAAGAGAGGGACCAAACATGTTATGGGTGTACATGGGGAGGTCAGAGGATAACCTGCAGAAGTCTATTCTCTCCTGATACCTTGTGGGATCCAGGGCTTGAACTCAGGTCATCATTAGTGCCTCTATTAGCTGAGTCATCTATCTGGTCCTTTTCCTAGTTTTTGTATATTTTTATTTATTTATTTTGAGACACCTTCTCCCTGAAGCCCCAGCTGGCCTGGAACTCACTATGTAGAAAAAGCTGGCCTTGATCTCACAAAGATCTGCCTGTCTCTGCTGCCCAAGTGCTGGGATTAAAGGCAAGGGCCACCATGCTCAGCTACCCTAGTTTTTATGTATCTTTACTCTTTATTCTGTCTGTACTAGTTTTCTCTCCCCCCTCCCCTCCCCCCTCCC